ATTTGGATTTTGGTTTAAATTTTTGAGAAATCACAGATTTTAGGATCGGAATGAGTTTTCTCTCTTTCATATTTTTTTGCTAAGTTGTAGAGCTGGAAACTCGGAAGTATCGATTTTGGCCGATTATGAGCTTAAAAGCTCTACTTTGCGATGCTCATAACTGGAAAACGGTAGGTCGCATGAAAAAAATGCATGCGACCTTCTTAGTAAGTAATTTTATGAGCTTTAATTTTGCATGGAGGTATTTCCACGAAAAAATTACTTATCTCCCGACTTTAATGCAAAAAACCGAAGAAACAGCGATTTTGGACCTAAACCCCAAAATGGCGGCTGAAGCCGTAGTTAAGAAAAAGTGCAAAATTAACCCTTATTTAAGGACTTCACAAGACGTCTTTTAAAGAAATTTCCAGCATTTAATTCAATATTCGTTCCCTTGGTGCCTGGTTTAACTGCAATAACGAATTCAAGATCCACCCACATAAGTTAGGGAGGCAGAGATGCCACTTTTATATTAAGTGTTGTAAAATGTTTTCCTCCCTAAGGCTCAATGGTATTAAAAATGTTAAATCCTTCTTTTTACACCAAAAATATTTCTTGTGCCTAAATTCGTCAGGTGAAAACTATATGACTAGTTCAGCTCAAACCTGCTCATCACTCACTTTTTCCAAAATGTAGCTTGGCTCCTTTTTGCTTACTGGTCCTTTTTTTATACTTTGATTTATGTTTGAACTCTAATTTGATGTAAATATTTAATGTTCCAGGAGAAAATCGGCAGTCTTGGTTGTTTGTTAAAGAATGCTTCTATTCCATGGAGTCCTATTGTAATAGAGTTAGCCAATGATTGCCTAAAATCGTACCAGAAGAAGGCAGACATAATTCAAGATTGCTACAAAATGATTCCATTAAAACATGTTTTCAAAAAATATTCCATCAAAAGTATTCTGACCTCACCAAGAGAGGTACGTTTTATTTTTCAATCCAAAGAGGATAAAATGATATCAGTGTATTAGATTTACTTAACATGAGTTTTATTACTGTTATTTATAGATGTGTCTTTCAGCCAATAAGAGAGTGCACTCCTAATTTTGATTTTTAAAGTAAAAAGTTTTTACTCTCATGGAGAGCTGCTTCATGTAGAATGTCATATCCTACAAGCGAGGAGAATTAATGACTGAGGAAAAGAACAGGAAATGAAAAAGGGGTCAGGGACAAACTGGTTCATTTTTTAGATAAAAGTGTAAGTCCCCCAGCACTTCAGCTGGGATACCACGTCTAGAGAGGGTATTAGTCCCTCACTTCATTCAGACCAGATGATAACAGATAAAACAGAGGATATGCTTCTTTAATCTGTTTCTATTTTCGCATTTTCTCACAGTTCAATGTCAGTTGATTGATCACCTAGTAACTTTTTGGATTTGTTTGAACTCAGCATCGCTTTACAAACGATTTTTGAAAGTCAAAATTAGGTTTCCTTGTACTTTAATCAGTAGTCAAAATGGCTGAAAAATCACACCTCAAGAACCTGCAATGCAATCATCCCGATAGCTCCAACGGAACCTCTGTTCTACCAAAGATTACTATTTATGCAGAACTGAGTTGTAATGGAACCCATCCTTTTCGAAAAATAACCTTGCACCATCCTTATGGGGAACCCCCCCCCCCCCCCCCCCNGGTCAGATCTGATGAAACTTTAAAATGTAGCTTAGCTAGTCATTCCGATCAAAAGCTCTCACGGGCCGAGAGGGATCTTATGTGCAGTTTGCGAAATATTCGCCGTTTTATATGTGTGAACGGAGGTCCCGCCAGCCGGACCATTGTGTGGCCCTACTCGTACCGTTCCCTTCCAGTCCATTCCAGCCCCTCTCCGTTTGTCCGCCACCCATATCCGAGGCTCGGAAACCGAAGCTCATCGTTACCGGCCCGGGTGGTCTTATCTGGGTAGTGGTTACCCGGGCCGGTAACGATGAGCAGAGTCTCGTGAGCGTCGGATTCCGAGCCTCGGGTATGGATGGCGGACAAGCGGAGAGGGGCTGGAATGGGCTGGAAGGGAACGGCACGAGTAGCGCCGCACAATAGTCCGGCCGGCGGGACCTCTGTTCACGCATACAGGGTTATTCAGAAGTCACGTACTGGCCAAGTGGCCAATGGCCATGAGGGGGGTGGCCATCTGAAATTTTTAAGTTGCCCCCCGCCCCCCGAGGGGATCAAAAACTGAAAAGTACTTAAATAAGTTTCCCCCTCGACATGAGGAAAAACGTCTTAAACCGCAAATCGATTTCATAATTTTGAATAACCCTGTATAAAATGGTGAATATCTCGAAAACTGCACATAAGATCCCTCACGGACCGAGAGTATGGGCTCGTAAGAGCTTTTGATCGGAATGACTAGCTGAGCAACATATCAAAGTTTCATCAGATTTGACGGAGGGGGGGGGGGATTCCCATAAGGATAGTGCCGGGTTCTTTAATTTTTGGATTTAACCCTGAGATTTTCATTTTTAAAGTTAGGCCTTGAACATCCTTATCAAGCCATTTAATCCTCAATTGCTTTTCTGCTAGGGAGCATGATAGTTTGCACAATTGGTTAACATGGAAATGGGGGGGGGGTGTCGCCACTAGTCAATTATGACGAAAGTTTTGTGCATTTCGTTAATCAGTTGTGGTAAAATATAATTAATGGAGACACGTTTCGCAGCTTAGAGCTTCATCATCATGCGGCAGCGAACTAAAGTTGTTTTCCTTTTTCTTGCCGATTCACGCGCTCAGTGTTTGAAACTCGGCATGAAGTCTTAGCAACCATCTGGCCTGCAACTTATTTTCTTAGGAGTCATCTCAGGTTTCTTAGGAGTTATCTCAGGTTTCTTAGGGGCCAAAATGAAAAATTGCCCTTTTTAAATGCCTCGAGTCAGGAATACCCCATTGAGTAGCCCATTGCTGTATACGTCGAAGCCACATACAAAACCACTATCCTCTTTAGCTCTCTCCATCAGCATCAGTCCATCGTCACTATGTCAGTTAGCCCTTAAAAGGCTCAGAGGTTGCCAATAAAATATAAAATCAAGAGGAAATCATTTAAATTAATTAGGTCTTGTGAATTGCATTCATTACTTTTAATTTTTACTTTTTTAACTCATGTTTGAAGTTTAATTTTTTTTCTGAGTTGTGGGTGGAATAGTAGTTGATGGTGTAGGTAGAGGTGTGGCATATAGTTGTGGACTAGTTTATTGGACTATTGGCCAATTTTTCGCTTTGTTTTGCTGGCGACTAGAGAAGACAGGGAGCCGCCAATCAGTCGCCAGCCAACCGCGGCCAGATGCATATAATACAACAAAAAAAACAGATTATAAATTTTAAAAAAAAAATAGAAAGATCAGTGATGGTGCATCATTATTGGCCAAAAACATGAAATTGCAAACAAACCTATTTTAGAGAAGGTAATAAACAATCCGAGACATCTAGATGACTGGGTAAATATTTATACACACAGGACAAACAGCTTTCATACCGTCTTAGTGGGTACTGATAATTTGCTGTTCAATTGCATAAAAACATGGCATCAGTGGAATGCCAGCGCAAGGATCGGCAAGAAAAAGGAAAACAACTCTTGTTTGCTGCCGACTAATGATGGAGCTCTAAGCTCCGAAATGTTTCGACTTTATTGAAATTTTACCGCAAGTGAGGAACGAATTCTTATAAAATTTTTAAAACTGGTATACATTAGAAGTCTCCGGGTCTTCAACCTTTTTTGACCAAACTTTAGAAACACAGCTGCAGGAAAGACAGAATTACAGTTAAGTAACCTATATACTGTTGGATTTCACCTACAGGGCATTAAATTATGAGCTGATACGAAGTCAGAGACATAAAAAACATTGCATTATACGAGTGTCTCAAAATGGCAGCCCATTGAGGGTTGTTTTCGCAAAATGGAGAGCAAAGCGAGTGCAATGAACCCCACTTTAGCAACAATGCAACACAGTTTGACGGCCGTTCGCTTATTAATTTATAGGCTCTTATTGTATTGCTAGTGATTACAGAAGTAATTGGACGTATTTCTTTCAAACAGAACTGTGAGCAGGTGAGAAATATGGGGTGTGCTCTAGAAATCTGCATAAGAAACAATGTAAAAGAGGGCGTGATTCCTTTTGAAGAGTTTGAAAAGCGGGATATTGCATTCTATCAAACAGAACTATGTGCCAACTGAATGCGGGATTCATGAGTCGCGGGCATGGGGCGAGAGCGTTGTGGACAGGGCCCATGAGTTAAACGGCGGCGGCGGGGACGGCGATCTCCCCCTCGCGCCCGGGTTTCATCATTGCCGCTGACGTCACTGGCGCTTTATTATTCTCATTCACTCTTACGGCCAGAGAACTAGTGAGCACACCCCATTTTTCTCACCTCCACATAGGTTTGTTTGATAGAAATACGTCCAATTAACCATCAGACTGCATTCTAATGAGTTACCTCAGTTACTCTTTCGGGAATATGAATTTTGCCACAACTGTCTTTCATTAGTATTTCCCTTTTTCCTTAAACCCTAAGTTCCTCGGTTTTCTGTACTGGACAGAAAGTTAATTAATTTTTTTCGTAATTGCATTTCTATTTTTGTCTTCCAGCTGAGAAAATGTGTCAAATACATTTTCAAAGAAGGTTTAGATTCCAGATTAGAAGATGCCTTGCAGTTGGTTGAGGGACAAGAAGATAGCCTAAAGATGTTACCATATTGTCTTTACATAGACAGTTTAATCCAATCAAAGTAAGAAGTCTTCCTTTTTAGTGTATTTTCCAAAGAAAATACACTATTGCATTCTCCCATGATGTCGGACTCAGACCCGAGACCTTGTGAAGAGCACCGATCACGGGTCGTAGATCACGAAAATATATGCCATTCAAATTCATGTATATATATATGTATGTATGTATGTACGTATGTGTGTACGTATGTATGTACGTATGTATGTATGTATGTTTGTATTTCATTTCAAATTAGCATAACTTCTCAACGGTTTGTCGTAGAAAGATGATCTTGGTGTCAAAATTTCCAGAAAAATGAGAGCTTTCAGAATATATGTATGAAATTAATTGAATTTTAAAATTTGACCCACTTTTGGGGCATTTTACAAGGTCCCCCTTTCGTAAATTTTCGTTTCTTGAGATTTTCGGTTGTTTGGTTCGCACGGATCAAGACAAAAACAATTTCAAATGAAAGTAGAGCGTTTAAGCTTTAAAACAAGCCCAAGATAATCTTGGGGAAACGATTAGAAGCGGAGTTATGAGTCTTCAAAGTTGACGCGGCGCGCGGGAACCTTGTATGTTCCGAGTCTCAAGGTCACCTGCGCGCCCCGGATTGCCTGCAGGTTGCAAGTTTTTGTGTTTTAATGCTCCTGTAGGTCATTTTTAATGTAAATCATTCAATGAAGATAGTTTAATCAGAATTTTTTAATTTTACACAATGGGCCTTCGGCGAGGTACACCACATTAACGTCAAAAAATTTTAACTGCGTTTCAAATAGCCCCCTCAAGAATAACTGAGACTTGTTTTGAAGCTCAAAGCTCGTCTGCTTCTACGAGAAACTATTTGGCTTTACCAAGTGAGTTCCGTCAAGCGCTGTAGCTTATAGCTCAATTAAAAAATTTTAAAATTAGGGGTACCCCAAAATTTGGCAACAATGGGTTATAATTTCTAAATGGTTCAGTTCTGTATGGAGCATATATATATTTGAACTGAGGGTCCATGGTTTCTTCTAAAGTATAAGAGCAGAATCGTCATCGTCAGCAAATGTTTAATGAGGTATGATGGACATAATGGTTGATACTCTAAGCCCCCTCTCGCTCCTCCCGTAAAATTAAAAAAAATCGATTATTCTATCTTCATTGAATGATTTACATTAAAAATGACCTACAGGAGCATAAAAACACAAAAACTTGCAACCTGCAGGCAATCCGGGGCGCGCAGGTGACCTTGAGACTCGGAACATACAAGGTTCCCGCGCGCCGCGTCAACTTTGAAGACTCATAACTCCGCTTCTAATCGTTTCCCCAAGATTATCTTGGGCTTGTTTTAAAGCTTAAACGCTCTACTTTCATTTGAAATTGTTTTTGTCTTGATCCGTGCGAACCAAACAACCGAAAATCTCAAGAAACGAAAATTTACGAAAGGGGGACCTTGTAAAATGCCCCAAAAGTGGGTCAAATTTTAAAATTCAATTAATTTCATACATATATTCTGAAAGCTCTCATTTTTCTGGAAATTTTGACACCAAGATAATCTTTCTACGACAAACCGTTGAGAAGCTATGCTAATTTAAAGGTTTTGACTTTGACCCCCTCTCCCCCCTTTTCCCTGGGGGTTAGGCAAAAAATATGACCAGTTTTGAGTGTCTGGGAAGACCCTCTATCATTCCTGAGAAAATCGTACGATTCCGTGTTTAGGCCGATTTGGCCGTTTTGTTGTAGGGTCCTTTTTATGGGTGGTAGTTCTCCCCTAGGGCTGGTTTGGTATTGAATTTGAGCTAAATCGGCTGAGCCGTTTAAAAATGGCGAGCTTTGAAAGTTTTAGGCGGGGGGTGCGCGGCATGAGGGGAGCCGGCCGGAGCAGGGCCGCACAGTGGGTCGGGGGAGAAAGTTTTTGGACAAGCTGATCGTCGCACAGTGGGTCAGGGGGAAGAAGTTTTTGGACAAGCTGATCGTCGCACAGTGGGTCAGGGGGAGGAAATTTTCAGACAAAATTTTCGTCGCACAGTGGGTCAGGGGGAGGAAGTTTTTGGACAAAATTTTCGTCGCACAGTGGTTCAGGGGAAAGAAGATTTCGGACAAACTGTGCGTCGCACAGTGGGTCAGGTGAAGAAAGTTTTTGGAAGAACTGTTCGTGGCACAGCGGCCGAAGGAAAGGAAATATCTGGAAAAAACCATTGATTACACAATGACTTACAAACGTACAATTTTATGACTACAAAAATCCCACTTCGGGGAATACACTTCCTTCCCGCGGTGGATGTGCGGGACACTTTGAAGGAAGAAAAACTAAATGTGCAGACGATCCTGAAAAGACGCGCGCGAAGCGCGCGCCCTGGGAGGGCGAAGCCCCCCCCCCCCAGAAAACCGGCGCGGAGCGCCTGTTTTTTATACATCTCTTTGATGTGAATGATATTTCATCGATGGATCTTGAAGTAAAAAATCAAGAGAAGTGAAAAACCTGACATAAAATGACATGATTAAGGACACAGAAAAAGCTTTGACATGGAACTTCCTTTCAACCTTAGTGGAAAGGACCTCACTCGAAATTGCCTCTGTTTAATCTCAGCCAAATCTACAGTATATTCTTATGGTTACATAAAGTCACCTCCTAAGTTCATTATACCCAAAGGATTCAGCACATTCCTTAAGGAAATCTGTACCACAATCGATTTCCAATTTTTTTATTGCATTTACTTCATCTATAGGTGCTGATCAAAAGTCATAATTGCGCCACCTCTCTTTGCAGCACTGTTTTTGCACAAGCCACGGTAGAAGTTTTAATAATGTCTTGATCAAGCGAGGGCAGCGCCGCGAAAAAGAGTTGGAAAGATCCCTCTATCTTTCAGTGCTCTAGAACGATCAGGTCAGCTGAAATCACTACTTAATGGGTTGATGCTCAGATAGTGTGCTTTGATGGAAATTTAGTTCTGTTTGGTTCAACTTTGTTTCCGTTGGTTCTGTTTGCAATCTGAAAAATGCCATAGCTCCAAATTCAAAAAATTGAAAATTTGAGCAATGGGAACATGGCAAAAATAGATCAAAAATTTAGGATGGACTTAAAATCAACCGAAAGTAAGCGGTCTTCTCTAAAGAACCCTGCACCATCTTTTTGTGAAATTCCCCGCAGTCAAACCTGATGAAACTTCGATATGTTGCTCAGCTAGTCATTCTGATCAAAAGCTCTTACGGGCCCAAAGAGATCCCATGTCTGGTTTTCAAGATATTCGCCGTTTTATATACGTGAACGGAAGTCCCGTCGCGCCGGCCGGAGCATTGTGCGACACTACTCGTACGCTTCCTCTTCAGTCCACTCAGGCCCCTCTTCAATTCTCTGCCATCCACACCTGAAGCTCGGACTCCGACGCTCACGAGGCTTCGCTCATCGGCACCGGCCCGGGTAGTCTTATCACCACTCAGATAAGACCACCCGGGCCGGTGCCAATGAGCGAAACCTCACAGCTATCTTTAAAAACTTGGAAACTCTATGTGTCATCCTGGAAGCTTTGAAAAGGTCTAATTTCCCCCCAAAACTGAAAATCAACTCAGTTTTTGGTCCACACATAATTTTTACCTTTTACTGCAGGTCTACAAAATCAGGAATTTTATCAGGTCAGGGAAATTAGAAGGAAGTCAGGGAATATAATGAAAGAGATTGAATATTTGAAAAATCTTGAAATCTCAAAAAACATCCCAATCAAACCAACTCTTGACCNGGGGGGGGGGGGGGGGGGGAGACAATTGCTCTGGGTTACATTCTGAATGGTGGAAACAGGAATAAGGTCCATTAAGGAATTGCAATTTTAACTAATTGAAAGATTCGCACTCGAAAAAAAAAATGTTTGTATGGTTTTGTTATTTGCAGTGAAATTAATGGCACTCTTGATGACTCTTAAAAAACAATTTATACATTGTAAGATGCACAGTGCAAGTCAAATTTCTACTTCCGTAACCCAAATTTTTTAATATTCTGTTCATGGCTATTTCAATAGTTTTAAAAGTAACATTTCAAAGACACACATGTTTTCTTTTATAATAATTTTTTTGATCATGATGATTTTGCTTGCTTTCAGAAAATATGAAGAAGTAACAGAATTTTTGTTTGAAAAGCAGTTAGATGAAACTGTGTTAGACCAATGTTGTCGATACATTATTCTAAAATTTTCAACCCATTTGGACTCTGGTGCTCATGAAATTATAGACGCTGTCATCAAAATACTCCAAAATTCGAAAGAAAAATTAGAGAAGACAAATGCAGCCGCAGGCATGAATGGTTTCAACAATTACATAGAGAAAGCCCTGGTTTGCAAAAGTATTAGTACAATGAAGGTATAACATTTTTTCAGCTTTTAAGAGACTTGAGAAATAATTTCAATGTTTGTTTTAATGCAGTGAAATGTCAATAATTTGAATGGGCTCTGAATAGGATAGAAAATAGACATGTTTGTCTGACGTCAATAAATTTTAGAGTAATGCTATATTCGGCATTAATTGGAATTTTTCAAAGGGAATACAACAGGGTGGAGCGTTTTTGGACGACTTGGCACATCAAAAAATTGATTCCAAAATGTTTGGAGGAGCTGGACCGAGGGTTGATCGAACTGAAGAAAGGTAGGTAGCATGGATGGAAGTTGACTTTTTAGAGTTTGTCTCAGGGCTTTGACAAAAAACCTGCTTTTAAGAGGAACATTGTACCTTTGAATGCCTCCTTACGCTATGACACGACCTCTCCAATTTTCAGGAAGAGCAAGTGAATGGAGAAAAAGTGTTGTTTTGCTGCAGCCACTGTATTAGGGCGGATTAGAGGAAAAAATTTCCAGAATCGTGCACTTCTGGAAGAAAGCATGAAATTTTCAGGACATCATTTTTACTTATAAAAGGTTCAATTTTGCAAGTAAGCCCAAAATCTGAGGCCCTGGGGGCTGGGGGTCTTGAATTCGCTCCTTTTTGGCGAATTTTTGCGTTGAAACATTGTTACAACGACGTTAAAAATATCTAATGTGATCAAAACTTGTGTAAACTTCATGAATAAGTTCTCTTGAACAGCAGTGTAAAATTGTATCACCGTCTGATCTCGGAACACCCCCCAAATTGCCTAAAATTCAATATGGTGCCCATAACAAGGCATCCGGGATATCCGTATCTTCACATGTGCATGCCTTGTGAAGTAACATTTCCCATGTAAGTTTGGTCGCAGATTTCATATTTGAAGTGAAAACGACCCATCTGTTAAAATTTGAGCCCCGAATCCAAGATGGCGGCCAAATTTGAAAGGCAGGAGGGTGCATTTTTATGAGACAAAAATCACGTGAGATTGCAAGTGAGCAGGTATCAATTTCTATGTACTTTTAGTCACGAAACGAATCTAAATGAAATTTAAAAACATCATTTTACACAAATCTGAGGCGAGATATTTAAGATGGTGGTCAGTATGGCCGTCCAAGGTAGGAATGATTTTAACTGGAGCACCTATGATGAGTCATACTATTCATTTTAAGCCCAAATATTTGCTCAATAAAGTTAACAGAGGAGATTGAAGAGGACATTAAACGCGACATACCTACTGTACCTTCTCCAGTCAGTATAGGAGAAAATATCTGATTCAACACATGCTGTTTCACATTCTGAGTCAGGCTTGTCAGAATCTTCCTCCAAGGGGTTCTCCAAGTTTTTCCAGTTCCAGTCTTCACAGCTTCTGCATGATCCAAGAACGATAGGGTCATTTTTTTATAAGTACAGCATGGTGTCACATCCTCTCGTACAATCACACGGGGTAATTGTAAGCAAGGATTTCGAAAGCTGGAGGCAAGCTGCTCAAAAGAGGAAGAAGCTTCTTGTTTTTATTCATCAATCCCCACTGATAAGCATTTAGATAGTTTCATCCCATCCACAGTTGAGTTTGAAAGTAGCTCCTAAATTAATGGTACATCATGGCTGATGATGTCGAGGGTAATTACTCTGATTGAATGAAGACTCCGAAAGCTGCAACTTTTTCCTAAGATATGTGATATCGGAAGTCTTCGAAAGTCAGACTTTTTTTGGCTACCGTAGAAGTAGTACCGTAGTTCGATGGTGAAACTACAAAAATACGTATCTCAGTAGTGGTGTTCCAAAATATCCGTTCCTATTTTATTTCTTGAGAGGGGACCAAACCAGCATTTGAAACGTTTACAGAATATTACTCACATGGAAAGGAAAAATAACCGAAAGGAGGGGTATCGATGAGGGCCTTTTTTGGCCCCCTCCTAGAATCTAGAAATTTATGCGGGTTTTCTAAGTTGACTCAATGTAGTTTACGGAAATAGTCATGATTTAGCCCATAGGCCACTGGATATGTGTTAAACGGTTGCCCAAACATAGGTCTGCAGGCGTATTTTAGTGAAAATTTGTGTTTTTCTATGGCTCCGAGGCTTTTTTGACACCGAACGCATCGTCTAACTGAAACGAGCTTTTGATATGTTATCAAGGATGCTTTAGGACACATTTTAACTCTGGTTTGGTTTTAGTTAGATGATGCCCTCATACTTGAAAAAAACTTTTTACAAAAATCAATGTTTAAGGGACATCCGCAAAAATCATAGGGAACACGTCTGTCCAGCTGTATGCACGTTGCGTATATTATTGAAGGCACTTATCAAGCCTTGTTAAACCCTTACAAGGAGATTTAATTGAATTGAAGCCAAAAAAAAACCCTAACGACGTAATTCCCTAAGATTTTTGCTGATTTCCCTTAAACGTTGATTTTTGTAAACAGTTTTTTTTAAGTACGAGCGCATCATCTAACTAAAACCAAACCAGAGTTAAAATGAGTCCTAAAGCATCCTTGATAACATATCAAAAGCTCGTTTTAGTCAGAGGATGCGCTCGGTGTCAAAAAAGCCTCGGAGTGATAGAAAAACACGAATTTTCGCTAAAATACGCCTGCAGACCTATGTTCAGGCAACCGTTTAACACGTATCCAGTGGCCTTTGGGCTAAATCATGATTATTTCCGTTAACTACATTGAGTTAACTCGGAAAACCCGCATAAACTTCCAGATTTAAGTTGATGTTATGCTATTAGTGATAATATGCCTCCACTACTCCAAAATCCGTTATCTTCATAGCTGTTTTTATGGAAAATTCGATTTTTTTTGGACACAATTGAAGTAAATGTCCTTGTAAGAGTCTAACAAGGCTTGATAATTGTCCTCCATAATATACGCAGCGTGCATACAATTGGAGAGAAGTGTTTCCCTAAGATTTTTGCGGATGTCCCTTAAACGTCGATTTTTGTAAAAAGATTTTTTTAAGTATGAGCGCATCAACTAACTAAAACCAAACCAGAGTTAAAATGAGTCCTAAAGCATCCTTGATAACATATCAAAAGCTCGTTTTAGTCAGAGGATGCGCTCGGTGTCAAAAAAGCCTCGGAGTGATAGAAAAACACGAATTTTCGCTAAAATACGCTTGCAGACCTATGTTTAGGCAACCGTTTAACACGTATCCAGTGGCCTATGGGCTAAATCATGATTATTTCCGTAAACTACATTGAGTCAACTTAGAAAACCCGCATTTTCCAGATTCTAGGAGGGGGCCAAAAAGGCCCTTATCGATACCCCTCCTTCCAAGAAATGGCTTTCAGTAGCTTTTTATGAAGATACTACTGAAGTATGACAGGAAGTTTGCCACGCTGCAAGCCGAAATACGCAATCAAGCAGTTTCACCATCGATTCACTCTTATTCAGCTCTCAATACACGTTCCAGGCTTTGACTAGGTTCCAAGAACCTGTCTGCAGATTCTTGGTGGTAAGGACCAGATATTATCGTATTGAATAAAGTTGCTATTATTATTCCATGCATGAGATAGATTGAATCGCAACCAGTAAACGTAATGCAAGAAAAGTAGTCGCCTTCTTAACAGTTGACCGATTGTGTAACGGATTCAAGGGATGTTGTGAACGATTATCTCGGATTTTGCGCGTTTAATACCTTTTCGAAAGCGCAAAGAAAAATTGGTGTCTGCTGAAAGCTGATCAATTAAACAAACGGACCAATAGGTTCGAATCCTCTCCAATCACAATATTGTGTCAGTGTTCTTACAAGCTGCAACACTCTTCCACTCCACTCTTTAGATATGATAGATTTGAAGTGCGTGTCAATTAAATGAAATAGTCAACTTTTAAAGGCTGAATTTGCCAAAAATACCTCTTTTTATCAACTAAAGGTGTTTTTGACGAGAAGTTAGTTGTAGAGACTCAACTTAATTTCTGGCTTCTCTCAAGATGAGTAGAGTCTTGCATCGATGGAACGTTTTCTTGATACCTGTTGAATTTGATCGTGACTACATTGTACTTAAAAACAACAGATTGAACATAGGGTTGTGCAATGGATTCGTAAGTATGCCTAATTTTCAATGACTTTCAATGGAGTAGAGACCCACCGTACTGAACGCTTTCTATGTTATTTTCGGTACTCATAAATTGTTCATCCTCTGAGTCTAAGGCATCTGAACTTGAGTTCTGAGTTTTTGTTCAGTAATCAATAAAATACCTCACTATTTGTGACTTGTCACATGTCAACCGTAATAGTCATTATCTTCAACATCACGACTCATTTTTGTGTAAAATAATGTTTTTTCATTTCATTTAGATTCATTTCGTTCACTAAAACTAAATAGAAATTGATACCTGCCCACTTGCCAAGGCTTTTCAAATTTAGCTGCCATCTTGGATTTGGGGCTCCAATTTTGACCGTGGGGCTCTTTTGACTTTATTAATGAAATCTACGACCAAAATTACGGAGGAAATGACATATCGCTTACATGGTAAGTGATTGCGTATCCCTCCAATTTTTAAAATTCTCTTACTGGAGCTGGTTTCTCCCGTCCCTCCCATTAACAATTTAATAATGTTTTTAAATTTCCCCCACTTTTTTTAAGATTGACTGTGGAGGCTATGATGCCTAGACCCCCCGCTTCCTCCCATTAAATTACATTAGTGTGAGCATGCCAATGACAAGCCCTGAAAGTCGCCTTTAAAAGTGGAATTTTTGCGTTTATTTAACTTTTTTTGTTACAATTTTTTGGGGAGAGAGGGAGGAGGAGGGAGGATGTACCCCCCGTTAAATTATATTAGTGTGAGCGTGTGAATGACAAGCCCCGAAAGTCGCCTTACGAAGTGTAATTTTTGCGCTTATTCAACTTCTTTCGGGATTATTTTTTGGGGGGAGGGGAAGGGGAAGGATGTCCCCCCTTCCTTATCTCCCACGAGAGATCACATAGATAACTCTCAGAACGAACGCTATTTGTTATCATTTTGCCGCCCATTTTTGCGCATATCACTATACTTC